TGTATCTTTTGATCTAAGGTAGGTCTGATGGAGGCAGCATATATATGGATCTTGTTTTCTTACCTATTCAGCTACCTTCTGTCTTTTGTTTGGAGCATTTAAGCCATTTACATTTAAGGTAATTATTAATAGATACGTATTTATTGCCATATTATTGTTAGACTATTTTTCTCTGGTTTTCATTTTTTTTCTCTCTTTCTGGTCTTTAAAGCAAGCCCTTTACCATTTCTTGTAGTACTGGTTTTGTGTTAAACTGCTTTAGCTTTTTCTTGCCTGGGAAGCTCCTTATTTCTCCTTTGATTTTAAATGATACCCTTGCTGGGTAAAATAGTCTTGGTTTTAGGTCCTTGCTTTTTATTTCCTTGAATATTGCACTCTGGTCCCTTCTGGCCTGAAATGTTTCTGCTAAAAAATCAGATAACAGTCTAATTGGTACTCCCTTATGTGTAACTAACTGCCTGCTTTTTCTCTTGCAGCTTTTAGCATTCTCTCCTTGTCTTTGAGCCTTGCCATTTTAATCATGATGTTTCTCAGCATAGGCCTCTTTGGATCCAACTTTTTTGGGGCTCTGAGCTTCCTGGACTTGTATGGCCTTTCCCTTGACCAGATTAGGGACATTTTCGGTCATTATTTCTTCAAATAGGTCCTCGATGCCTTGTTCTCTTCTCTTTCTGATATTCCCAAGATGAGGATGTTGTTTTACTTCATGTTGTCCAAAATGTTTCTTAAGCTCTCCTCATTATTTTTAAATTCTTTTTTCTTTCTGCTGCTCTGCTTGGGCGTTTCTTTCTTTTCCTTGTCTTCCAAATCACTGATTCGATCCTCCTCTTCATCTAACATGCTGTTTATCCCTTCCAATGTATTATTTGTTTCAGATACTGCATTCTTCTAACTCATGCTTCTTTATGGTTTCTATGTCTTTTTTTCATGCTGTTGAATATCCTTATAATTATTACTCTAAACTCTGTATCTGATAAATTGCTTGCCTCTATTTTATCTTAGCTCTTCTTCTGGAGAATTCTCTTGTTCTTTCATTTGGGTTCTGTTTGTCTTCCCATTTCAGCTACTTCTTTGTGTTTGTTTCTATGTATAGGTAGATCTACAAAGACTTTTGTGTAGGCCTTTTTCAAACACTGCTTGTGACTGGCCCTGGTCAGCCTGGTGGAAGTGTCAGTGAGCCACAGCGTGTGACTCTCTGCCAGGCCTGTTTGTGTGCAGAGAGTTAATTTGCTTTTCAGTTTGAGAAGTTTCTATGAACATATCTTAAAGCTCACTGATTCTTTCTTCATTGATGTCTGCTGCTTAGCCAATCAGAGTCATTCTTCATTTCTGTTACTGGGTTGTTGATTTCTAGCATTTCCTTTGGAGTCTTTAGGTTTTATATCTCTGTTTACATATATCTATCTGTTTATATGTTGTCCACTTGAACCTGGGCATATTAATCATAGTTATTTTAAATTCCTACTCTGATAATTCCAAAATCTTTGCCATAGCTGAGCCTGATGCTTTTTCCCTTCAGATTGTGTTTTTCATCTTTTAGTGTTCCTTATAATTTTTCGTTCATAGCTGGACATAATGTGTCAGATAATAGGAACTGAGGTAAATTAGCCTTTAGTGTGAGGTTTTATGTTTGTCTGGTGAGGAAGTACATTTTATTTACTATTTTCCATAACTATAGGTGGCAGAAACTAAAATTTAACTTGTTTTTAGCTCCCTTGTTATCTTTGGGTTTCCCTAGAGACTCCTCCTTAGTCAAAGTCTGAGGCAGCTCTTTCAACCGAAGCAGTTATTATACAGGAGCCCAAATAACATTGTGGTGAGTTGGGGGAGGGAGAAAGAAAGCATTCTGTAGTTCTATGATTGTCTTATTCTTTTTGTGAGCCTGAGTCCTAGGCTATGACCTTCATATTAGCCGCAGCTTTTATTTCCTCTTCTTGGTGAAATGGAAGTCTAGAGAGGACTGGAGTTGGGAATTTCCACAGGTCAGTTAGGTGTTTGCAAAATTAGTTCTCTTGTGTACAAGCTTTTGTTAATAAGAACAGGATGTCTTGGATGTATTTCAAAATGGCTACTTTTTCCCTCCCACTGCTAGAGGCAGGAGGAGGTTTTTCTCCCATCTTCACCCTGCTAGTCTGGTGAGGGTTAAACTCACAAAAGTTTGTTGTCCCCACTAAGATTGGAACCTAGAGTGTTTTAAGTCAAGCATGTCCACTGTGAGCCTCCGTTTATTCATCCATCACAGTTAAATGTTTCCATCAGTACTGGCTCCAGCTGTGAGCTTCTTCTGTGTTCACTTTTCTGTCTTTCTAGTTTTCAAGGCAGCAGTTTGCCTTGTGACATTAATTCTGTGAAGGATCTAAGAAGAGTTGTTACCTTTTGTTCAGTTTTTTTCTCATTTTGAGGACTAGAGTAACATTTCCAAGATTTTTACATATTGATCCAAAAAATGGAAATCTCTGCCTTACAGTGATTTTTAAGAATTTTTGTATTGTTTTTAAATTTTATTATTTTATTACAGTGTGCATTCAATATTATTTCATATTATCTGGCTCATACTTTTAATTGATCTTTCCCTATGGTTCTTCTGGCAACAATTCCAAATGGAATTTTAGATGTTGTTTATGGATTTATTTGACAAAACAGTTTATCTTCTTTGTAGTCAAAACAAAATGTGGGATATCAACTATATAATTTAAAGAATACAATATTATCTGTTACTGTCTACTGTGCCAAAATAAAAATTCTCTGGATATCACTAGTGTCTGGTTTTACTTTTAGCTTTAAACTTTGGCTTTTGGTGGGACAGCTTGTTTCAGATAAGTGACAGATTTTATCTTATTTTGTGTTGAGATTTTGGTTCTCTAAAAATTTTTATTGCAGTAGTCTGTGCCTGATTGGACAGTTTCTGCTTAATGCAATGGCCTGTTAAACAGACAGATTTTTTTTTTTTGCTTACCTCATCACAATTTAAAAAGAGATGCTGGCCTGGGGTCACAGTTGATTGGAGTGTACCAAAAGGTGGGTTTGATCCCTGGTTGGGGCACATACCTAGGTTGTGGGTTCGATTCCCAGTTGGAGTACGGGAGGCAGCTGATTGATATTTCTCTCTCACATTGCTGTTTTTCTCTCTCTCTAAAACCAATAAAACATATGCCCTACCTGGTGTGGTTCAGTGTTTGGAGTGTCGTCCTGTATCCATAAGGTTGTGGTTCGATTCCCTGTCGGGGCACATGCCTAAGTTGTGGGTTCATCCCCTGTTTGAGCACATGTACCTACCCGGTCCAGACGCATACAAAGTGGATTCCTGGTCTGGGTGCATACAAAGGCAACCAATCGATGCTTCTCTTGCATCGATGTTTCTCTCTGCCTTCCTCTCTCTCTAAAAAAGCAAATGAAAAAATGTCCCCAGGTGAGGATAAAAAAGAAAAGAAACAAAGGAAAAATCAATAAACATATCCGTGGGTAAGGATTTTTTTTTTTAAGAGCCTTCCATTTGTAAATTTATTTTATTAAAGAAGTAAATGGCTTCCAACAACAAAAAATTTTTTTCCATAAATGGTATATACTGAGAATTACTATAAATACTGAAAAATCTTAATAGATCGAGCAATACTAACAAATTGAAACATACAACAAAAACCTACTAAAAAGTAAAAGTCCAGGATCAGATGGCTTCACTGGTGAATTTTGCTAAACATTCAAAGAAAATGTAATATCTATACTTCTCAAACTATTCCAGAAATTTGAAGAAGAAGCAATACTTCCTCACTCATTTTATGAGGCCAACATTACCCTGATAACAAAACCCAACAAAGATAACACAAAATATGAAAATTACTGACCAGTATCTCTGATGAATAAAAGTGCAAAACTCCTAAACTACTAGCAAATCAAATACAACAGTAGATTTTTTTTTAAAAAATACATCTTGATCAAGTGGGGTTCACTCCAGGTCCACTATGAAGGTTTAATCAATCAATCTATGTGATATACCACATCAACAAAATAAAAGAAATAACACAATTATATCAATAGATGCAGAAAAGGCATTTGACAAGATGTAATATCCATGTATCGCTAAAATACTCAGTAAAATGGGTATAGAAGGAAAGTACTTCAACACAATGAAGGCCAACACATAAATTTTATCTTCTCAATTGTTTTTATGTGTGTGGTTCACTGGCATTAAGTACTTTCACATTATTGTGCAGCCAATATCCAGAACTTTTTCATCTTGTAAAACTGAAACTCCATACCCGTTGAAAACTCCCCATTTGACTTTTTAAAATGTTTAGTCATTTTTTCCAAAAATAAAATAGTATATTTTTAGCTAGCTTATGTGAGTTGTGTTTTCAAACCCTATTTTACAGAAATTTTGAGTTTTACATGTATGTATACTTTGACCAACATGGACCAGGGTTTTCACTTAGTTCATCAATGAAATATTAAATATTCATAAATTCTCTTTAGAGATATATAGGATTAATAGATACCAATTTGATAACAATTGTAGAAAAACATCTTAAAAGACAGTGGGAGCTTAAAGCTAGATGAATTGGGTTGGTGTTTAGCTGTTCCTCTGTAGCTCTCTGATTTGGAACATCTGAACCATAGTACACTTATGTAAAATGAAGAGCAATAGTAAGGGGCCTCAAAAATCTTACTATGGTAAATATGAGGTCTTACATAAGTCTAAGAAATGTGTACAGGAATTCTTCCATCTTTGAGAAACTAACTTTATTTTTAAAAAGTTCCATTTATAGTAGGTATGTTCTTTAAAGAATTGTTTTTGTAGCTCTTCTACTTTTTATCTACTTATGATGGATGTTGACTAGACTTATTCTGGTGGTTATTTATCAGTATATACAAATATTTAATCATGTTGTGCGCCTAAAACTAATGGTATTTGTCCATTATACCTCATTTAAAAAATATAAAGAATTGTTTCTATGAATAACTGTTCTTTTTTCTTTTTTTCTTTTTTTTTTTTTAATCAAAAGGCATGGCTTTGGGAAGAAGACAAGAATCTGAGATCTGGTGTGAGGAAATATGGAGAAGGAAACTGGTCTAAAATACTATTGCATTATAAATTCAACAATCGAACAAGTGTCATGTTAAAAGACAGATGGAGGACTATGAAGAAGCTAAAACTGATTTGCTCAGACAGTGACGACTGAATATGTAAAAGCTTGATTAAAGGACAGTTAAATAGTCTGATCATCACGTTTTGTTTAAAACTGGGTGGTCATAGGTGTATCTTAAAATTTTTGTTTAAAGCATTATAGGATTTTTCTGTAACAGTCATTTAATTAATATAAAGGTTTGTGTTATAAGAGTAATTTGCCATCATTGTGTTCGTTAGAAGACTTTCACTTGGATAAAATGTAGGTTTGTCAACCCTAATGCTTTCACTACCTCTAGCCCCAAATCCTGTACCAATAAAAAAGAAAAATGAAAACCTGGTAAGAGGAAAAATATTTGTTAACGTGTTCTGTGTTTATATGCTGACTTCAACTCCAAAACATACACATAAAAGAGAAGTTTGCAAATCAGTGGATAATATTAGGCCTTAGATTTATGGCCTTGATAGAGTAATTACTATAAATCAATGACTTGATTTCTTGCCTTGATATAGTAATTACTAAGATTTTTGCTTACAGAATGATACTAAGTAATCTTTGAGTTTTAACATACTTAAATTTTCCTTTTAGTAGCTTTATATACAGGAAAAAAATAGTCATATCCACAGGACAAAATTTGTACTATTACCAAGATTTGCTTCATGTATAGTTTAGGTACATTTGTCTTTTGTTCCAGTGTTAAAACTTTGACAAAGATGGTTTTAAGTAAAGCTTATTTATAACCTGGTGCCATAATATTTTCTCTGGTATTTTTGTTTAATATATCAACAGTGTGCCTAAATGATGTTCTGTAAATGCTTACATTGACATTAACCATGATCATTTTCACACCTATGATACATACTAAATAAGCAAGGTCATACATACCTTACTAGACAATTTAGCGTTTTCACCAATATATAATTCTTTAGAGAATTGGTCAAAAACTAATGTATTTAGCATTTTGAGTTGCATGTGCTTTATTTAACAAGTGAGTGAAAATACTGATGTAGTTGCATAAAAAGTTAAATGGTAGTATTTTATAATCTGTGTTTCATTTCTTAATTGCATTGTACATTACTTTCCCATTGTTCCTGAATTTGTTGTCCTACACATGTAGTAAAGAGAAATGTGATTACTGTATGCTTCCTGACTTAGTATTTTGTTACATTAGTTACTGTCACTGTTTATTGCAGACATTTTGATGGTTACTGTTAAAGCAAGGCAGCATGAGCCAAAATCGACCTGTAAGTCTACTTCTCATTTCAAACATGCAATAAATAATCAAATCTAAGTTGCCACCAACTATAAGATGCTCAATTATTTATGTACCACTAAAAAAGATTACTATTAATTGTACTATAGTGTGATGCTTTCTTATTTAGAATTTTATTTCACTTATTAAAAGCTATTTTATGTTTAATTAAAATACAGATTTTTATCATATGTATCTTCAGAGAACAAAGGCAAAGCAAAATAATTTGGGTAGTGTATTTTTAAAACATCTTAAATCTGAATCTTCTGAATTACTTTATTAAATTGAATTCGTTTTGAGAGAATTATAGATTCACATGTAGTTGTAAGAAATAATACAGAGAGGTCCATTGTACACTTGTCCCAGGTTCTCCCAATATTAATTTGTGGAACTAAAGGATAGTGATATAATCCACCAATCTTACTTGGATTTAGCCAGTTTTACTTGTACTATATTTAATTCTAAGCAATTTATCATTTGTGTATGTTCATGTATCTACCACCACAGGCAAGGCATGATCAGCCTCAACGCCGGATCTCCGCACCGCCCCCCCGCCCCCGCCCCGTTGCCTCTCAAGTCCCTCTTTCGTCATTCCTCTAACCCCTAGCAACTGATGATCTGTCCTCCATCTCTAAAATTTAATCATTTAAAAATGTTACATAGTGACATCACCAAAAATGGTGGGGCAGGGAGTTCCAAAGATCCTTCTACTGAAGCAACTATTCAACTGGCAAAAACTTAGAATCAACTTTTGAAAGGAACCTAATAGACATCTAAAACAACCAGGGAGAATTATGAAAAAAGAAGCCACTGAATTTGGGTAAGATTTTGGTGTTTTTGTTTACTGTGCCTATAAAGACAGCAGCCCATTACTTGGTGCAGCATGGTGGTCCAGAGGGGGCAATGCAGATCCTGTACTCAGAATTGTGATTGTGTTTTGACCTGTTTGGGGGTTTAATTCAAGGGCGTGATTTGTTTTGCTCCCTCTGAATTCTCAGCCTTAAAATACCTACAGCTTGCTGCCTGAGGTAAGAGACAGCAGAGAAGGCTGGCAGCAGAGAGACTGGGAATCCTGCAGAGGAATGTAATGGGGATGAGGGCTTTGAAAGACCAGAGTAAACCAGAGAATCTAGAAGGCTGGCACATGCCCAGAGCTAGACACAGTCTCAGAAAAGACCTGTGAAGTTCCTAGGCCTCTACTTTTGAAGGATCTTTGGGCTTCATATGTGCTGGAGGTGAAGGCTAAGGCAGTTAGTTCAAGTGCCCCCAGCTCAGAGGCAATCTGCAAAGGTAGGAGAATATCTTGTTTTTCTTTTTGACTTGCACTTAATGAAATTAAATATTCTATGTATTTGCTCTTTTTTCTTTTGCTCAACATACTTATATGTATCTGTAGCTTGTTCATTTTTATACACTAATACATTATATGACTATATCACAGTTATTTACCTTTCGTGCTGTTGAGTGTTTGGGTTGTGGGAATAAATGACCACTCAAAAAAGGAGAACAGGCTACTTAGAGCTTTTTTAAAAAATTAAATTTATTGAGGTGACATTGGTTAATAAAATGATACAGGTTTCAGGGCACAATCCTACGACACATCTGACGAGATCAGGTGCGTTCAGGGTGGTACGGCCATAGATCTACAATACATTATCCGTATGTTGTATTTTGTGTTCACCACCCCACGTCAAGTCTCCTTCCATCACCATTATCCCCCCCTATATACTCTTCTACCTCCCCCATCACCCTTTTCCTCTGGTAATCACCATGGTGTTGTCTGTCTATGAGTGTTTCTGTTTTGTTAGTTTATTTTGTTCATTAGGTTCCACATATGAGTGAAATCATAATGGTATTTGTCTTTCTCTAACTGGCTTATTTCACTTAGCATAGTGTTCTCCAGGTCCATCCGTGCTGTCATAAAAGGTGAGATTTCTTTTTTTATGGCCAGGTAGTATTCTATTGTGTAAATGTACCACAGCTTTGCTGTGGTACTCAGAGCTTGCTATAGCAAAGGAGTCAGCCACCATCACTTGGGCTTAAGAGACACTCCATTGGGCAGGGATTTATAATGGAAAAGCTTTGCAATGAAAAGCAAAGAGAAGACAGGCTGGCTCTGACTGGAGGTCATCGGCATGAAGAAGCTGGAGGCTGGTGAGCAAGCAGCAGGCATCCTGTGTGATTTTTTTGGGGACAATGTTTCACTTTCTCTGATTGATTCTGAGATGGAAGTCGAAACAAAGAATAGGGATGTTGGCGTCACCAACCAAGTCCTGATTGGGTGGAGTGGTATTGGCTATCCAACCTTTTGGCTTCTCCGGGCCACACATTAAATACATTGTGACATATAATCACCAAAAAATCTCATAACGTTTTAAGTGAATTTACAATTTTGTGTTGGGCTGCATTCATAGCCATCCTGGGCTACATGAAGCCCATGGCCACAGGTTGGACACCCCTGCTGGAGGTTTGCTTTGGCATCCTCAGCTGGTTGCTGCAGGGGTTGTAAGTCAGAGTTTGTTGACATGGAAGGTCTATCCAGTGTCTACATTCAGTTTCTCAAAAGTTTCCAGTTACTGCTGCAAGGCTGTTCAAATTTACATGCAATTCGATATTAAGAATAATACTCATAAGTAATCTGAAAAGTTAGCTATGGTATTGAACCCAGTTAAAAGAATACAGATATATGCCCAATTGATAAATTAAAATGGAATATTAAAAATTATTCAAATCTAAAAGAGCAAAAGGGGACAAAAAGTCACAAGGGCAAACAAAAAAAAGTACACCTGAATCCAACCACATCAATAGTTAGATTAAATGTCAACAGTCTAAGCCAGTGGGAGGGCAAACTTTTTCTGTCAATGGCCAGACATACTATTTTAGTCTTTGTGGGCTGTACCATCTCTTGTCAATTCTGCTTGGAATTAGCCAGAGGTAGGAATATGTAAATGAGCGGGCATGGCTTGTTCCAATAAAACTATGTTTACAAAAACAGCCAGCCAGCAAGATTTAGCCTAAAGTCTGTTGACTCTCCCCTTTGAGTTCCAGACTTTAAGTTTCACAAGTTTGTGTGTCAGGGTGGGTTTTGAAAAAATTGTTGCTCAGGGGGACCTCTCTACCACAGAAGAATGGCTGTCACCTCTGATTCCACCTTCTTTTCTACATGTTCTAAAGTATATGGGCCCTCCCTTCCGGTTTATCCATCAGTAGACTCCTGTATGTTTTCAATCTTCAAAAAACATTCTTCAAAATCTCTGGGCTGATTACCATGCTCCATCCACCCCGCTTCTCATCAATGTTACGAACCTGTTCTCTTTCATAAATCCTGTAATCTCAGTGGGATTCGGGGAAGGAGAGAGGGTAAATGTGTGTGTCCAGCTGTCATCTTGACCTGGAAGTTTCATTTCTGTTTCAATATGTCAGAATGCCCAGGCCTTTGCTTTCTAAATCAACTTGGAGCTACAAGCATGAACTTTCACTAGAATATACTTAGAGGGCAGAACCAGGTTTACTTTGCATCATTTTTGTGCACACCTGGAAAAGAGGGCTGATTAAGATTTTTATCCAGACTAGAAATAATTTATCGCTATTGCTATTTATGCTTAAGTGCAATATTGTTGAGTAAAAATATCCTAAGAAAGGCCCTAAAAAGAGTACAGTATGGTTGAACTTCACCTTGTTCCTTCTTCTAACCATTTTTTTAAAAACTTTTTTAAATGATCACCATCCCTAGTTCCTTTCCCCTTTCCTGAGTGGGTGCATTTACTTTTGTTCGAATTACTTTCCATCTGCACTTTTGAAAATCAGTCTATTAAGTAACTCTAGGGGCTGTAAATCACTGCAGAGCGCCTGTGGGGAGAACTCTAGCTGTAAGGTACTCATTGGAAAAGGATACCAAATAGGTCTTAAATACTTTAATCTTTAACTTTGAAAATAAACATTTGCTTCTTCATTAATCACTTAAACTACATGTTTCAGTCCTGACCTGTTTCTTGGGCTTTGCTAGAACTAATAACAAGCATTTAAAACCATTTTTAATAGTTGACTGTAGCCTATGAACTCCTCAAGAATAGGAATTATAAAAATGTACTATTGTAGCCCTGGCCACTGTGGTTCAGTGGATCGGGCGCCAGACTGCAAACCAAAAGGTCACCGGTACGACTCCTGAGCATGGCACATACCTGGGTTGTAGGCCAGGTCCCTGGTTGGGAGATTGTGAGAGGCAACCAATTGAGATGTATCTCTCCCTCTCTCTTTCCCTTTCCCTCTCTCTAAAAATGAATAAAATCTTTAAATATATATACTATTGTACAAAATGAAAGTAATTAATAACTATGCATTAAAAACTAAATATATAAGGTGAAAAACTGATTTTATACAATTCAAATATGTTAAATGTTATAATGTTGAATCCTAACATCATAGCTTTATTGCCGTAAGTCATCGTACTTATACCTGCCAATTCTGAAGATTTTTTTGTTTTGGTGAAATTTTGTTCATTCTCTGACAAGCCCAGAAAATTTATGTATTTTCTAATCAAATAAGCAAAGAGCTTTTTCAAATGTGAACAGAAAGTTTATTTACTGGTACAAAAATTTTAAGTATCATTGAAAATTACCCAGGTATATTTTCAAAAACTTTGCTTTACAAATGTTAGAAATAGTCTTAAAATATTAATACTGAACTGATAGCTGAAATCTTAACCTCGATGAGATGCAAATCTTTTATTAGTAAAATTTCTGAAGAGTTTAACTTACCACAAAAACAACTCTGACAGTTAAATGAATATTTAGTCAGGAATATTGCTACTCTCAGCATTAAATATTGGGCATTTTTCCATCTCTATTAAGCTTACTATTGTCATTCTGTCATTACATAAGTATCAAGAAATATGTATTTTAGTAAATCATTTGTTAGTGAATAATATTTTATACAAATGAAACTGAAGGAATCTCAGGTAGTTTAAATCTCGAGATTCAATTCTCCAAAGAAAACATCATGAATTTTAAGATTTGTTTCAAAAATGAAAAGGGCTTAGCTTTCACAGCAGTCTTTGGCACAGTTCAGCTTTTCATCAAAGCCGAGTTTGGGATGAGAAGCGAGATGTGGCTCTGGGGTTGATGTGCAGAATGATGTCCCAGATGCTTAAACAGGCCACTTGGTTCCTGGTTCATTGATTTTCCAACCATAAAATAAGACTAATAACTCTGTGTGTATGTGTGTGAGGTCAGAGTATTTGTAATAAAATCCCAGCCTTCAATAATCTATTCCTCTGCCTCCTACTCAAAACATAAAATGAATGCCGTAGAAAACAAGTATCGTAGTATGTTGGCTTCAACTTGATACTGACTCTGAAAGATTATTTTAGTCAGTTTCAGGCTTTAGCCTTGGAAATAATTTTAGACACTAATGATGGTAGAATTTTCATAATTAAGGCAATTTTTTCATTCACTGGTGCCAGAATTTCTCATTATGAAAAGTATAATATTTAAAGACACTCATATTGATCTAGAATGAATACTTGATCTTTTCAATTAACTGAAGAATATTTCTTTTCAAAAATGTATTTTTAGCATAGCTTGTTTTCTATATTACAAAATGCTTACTAAATCTTAAATCATTTGTTCTGTGGAAAATTATTTGTGAAAATTTGCTTGAAATTAATCATTTCAGAATTTGTGGAATAATAAATGAGAAATGTATGTGTGAGAGTGTACATATATATGTATACATTTTTAAAGCAAGAAGATTTGAAGATTACAGAAAAGGAGAAAAATGCAAGATTCAAAGCATGCATATCCTTAAATGACAACTTATTCACCAATAAATGGACCATGTTACAGTAATTTTAGTGCAAAGAGACATGTATTTTGTGGCGCATGGGCCACCTATAGAATGAAGGGCCTCTATGTGGAAGGTCAAGGACATAAAACCACAGGAGACTTTAAGGTGGTCCTCAACTCAGTATAAATAAAAATAAAAATAAAGGTGTGTTTACTGAGAACTGGCCCCTAAATTTTCTTTCTCCACTTCAGAGGGTAGCAATGACATCTGTTCAAAAATCTGGCCACACAATTTTTAAAGGTTTATGAAGTGTTGAACGTGACTTGATAATATTTATCATGTTTACACGCAGATTTTGAAATATTTACCTTGCATTCTATATAAATATAAAACTGTGCACAGCTGGACACGAACACTGGTCTACTCGCCGAACTTTTTTCCAAGTTCCTTGACATCGAGGATTGCCAACTGCTTGCCAATGGAGAGTCTGATTTCTGAAACAATATTTTGAAAATGTTACTACACTAAAAGTGAACTGAAGGAAATTCTAATTTACAAAATTATACATTGAAGGTTTTTTAAAAAAAGATAATCATCATACATGGAGTTTTGAAGTACATTGTAAGTTGAAATTTTAAAAAATGATCACAAACCAAGTTCGCCTTCTTTGGGTTCTAGCAAAACAAGTTACTACTTACCCCTATTTGAGGACACCCTGTGTTGAGAGAGTAGTCTAAGTTCACGGTATTCATTTCTGTCACTTGACCTAAATATATGAAGTGCTACATAAAGAAAAATGGCATCCTGTTTCATGTATACTTAAATTAGAGTGGTCTGAACCAAATAATTTCTTGTAATCCTTTCCAACTCTTTGATTCCATGATGAAAAAAAATGGCAGAGGTGGAAAGAGCAAAGCCAGATTATTGAAATTATTTTTAAAGTCACTGGAACCTCAGCCAGGGTTTAAGTTACTTTATGGATACAAATTAAATTATAAATTGATTTCAAGTCAAAATATGGATGAGGTATTCAGAAAAATAATAAGTGTAAATATTAAGTTTCTATTTCATATGAATTCCTTACCCATTTTACTGTTCATATGGTGTACTCAGTACAGAGACTGTTAGGCACAAGTGACTAATAAATGAAAATTCAAGTTATTAAGCATTAACACATACTATGGGAATAACGAGTAACTGGAAAGGTCCATATTTTACTTTCTAATCTGTATTTTTACCGATTCCATCTGACATTCTTAAAACCATAATCCATGCCCAGAAGTCTACCCTTCCCTTAGTTACAGTGTTATCAGATTTAACTGATAAATGAGTACAGGACTTGCATAATTTTTTGAGATAATAAAATGTTTTCAAGGGTCAATTCTTTTGGTTTTCAAGGGTCTATAGATTTCTGTAGATTTGAGACCTCACAAAGCTGAGCCTACCAATCATTACCTTATCTTAATGATCTCAATCATTATCTTATGACTCCACTGAGCAGTGGTTCTGAACCTGCTGTGGGAATGAGTCTTCTAGGCGGGGGTCAGCAATCTGCAACCCGTGAGTCAAATCCAACCCACACCCTGCTTTCCTGTAGACATTTTAAAAGTCGAATGAAAATCAAAAGAATATTTCATGATACATGAAAATTATATGAAATTCAAATTTAGTGTCCACTAATACAGTGTTTTTAGAACAAAGCCCAGCTCAGCAGTTTACATAGTGTGTCTGGCTGCTTTTGATGCAGAGTTGAGTGCTTGTGACAGGACACCGTGTGGTCTGCAAAGCCAAAGATATCTATCATCTGGCCTTGTACAGAAAATATCTGCTGACCCCTGACCTGAGAGATTAAAAAATCTACCCCCGAAAAATTCAGATTCAGGTGGGGCTCAGATATCTGCTTATTTTATACTTTATTTTATTTTATTTTATTTTTACTTTATTTCAATACTGACCCAAAGTTACGTTTATTGATTTTGGAGATATTGGGAGACAGAAAGAGAAACAAACATCAATGTAAGAGAAACATCGATAGGTTGCCTTTCATACACTCCCCTGCCAGGGCAGAAATCTGCATATTTTAAATCACCATCCCACGAGATTCTAAATCAAACGGTCTTTGGAACATGGCTTTGGGGTCAGGTCTTTGGTGGTCGCTTAGGAGCTGAACCTAAACTCCAATATTTAGATTGACCCTCTCATCCTTCATTTATGATAAAGAGCCTCTAAATCCCACAGTGTGAACTGGGCCTTGGGCTTGGAGTGGCAAGGAGGAAGGGTCTCCTCACCCACTCTTTGGTTCTCCAACTCATTCCCTCATACATTCTCTACCGGTCAGCTATTTGGGACATGCAGAGGACAGATCTCTCCAAATGGGTAACAAGAAAAGTATTGACCCTGGCTAGTGTGGCTCAATGGATTGAATACCAGCCTGTGAACCAAAAGGCTGTTGGTTCGATTCCTGGCCAGGGGCACATGCCTGGGTCACAGGCTAGGTCCTTGGTTGGGGGCGTGTGAGAGGCAACCAGTTGATGTGTCTCTCACACATCAATGTTTCTCTTCCTCTCTTTCTCCCTCCCTTCCCCTCGCTCTAAAAAATATACATAAATAAAATCTTAAAAAAGAAAGAAAGAAAAATCCTTCAACCCACTTCTCTCACTTACCCATCAGAGTCCAGGCCATCTCCGGAACAACGGAGGCTCACGGAGTTCATAGCTGGAGGTTGACAATCAACACACACAGTGTATCCCTCTCGTAGGTACTGCATCCATCGTGTCAGGGGGCGGTTTTCCAGGGCACAGTGATGAGTCAATGACTCAGTCTTGAACTCCATACAGTATCTACAACAAAAAAAGGATCAATTTAATTTGCTGTAATTAAAAGTGACCTCCAACTACACAAAGTCTTAGGAAGCCTGTCATCCCCAAGGCCATCTGCACAGGTCACACTTTGGTCACAGAACACCTTGTGATGACAGTGCTCATTCGCTGAACTATGATGGTGGCCAGGTGACAACGGCAGTGAAACTCAAAGGTCTTTTTCAATCCATGACTGAATTATCTGGTCAACACTGATCTGCAGAAATTCAGATATCCTGTACCCTGTCTAGGTTGACCACTAAATTGTGTATATAAAAACACATTTCAGTTGGAAAATACTCCTTGATTGCTTTGCTGACATTTTAATGAATTATATGAATTGAACAAGAACTTGCTTGAGTCTGAGAACAGGTAAGTCGCAGGAGGGCTCGTCCTTGACTCCCAGGTCAGCACCGGTCCCACAGACGCTCCCAGGGCCTTCCCTACACTCCCCGCCCAGCTCACCTATGTGATCTGGGGTAATGACAGGAGTTTTGACTTGAAGTCAAACATCACAGTTGTATTGTGATGTAAGGAAATGGGAAGCTGAGACGTGTTTTTCTGTAACAGGCTACTGTCACCTCTGACTGAGCTGTGGAAAACTCTAACACTATATGTTACTAAACTGAGGGCCCCACACATGGGTGAATATTTCAGAGTCTTGTTCTCAAAAGCAACACAATTTTTTAATTCTTCAGGGAAATAAAACACCATAAAAGAAAAACCTAAATGATACATTTTAGGTTCTAACTATGCTAAAATGGGCTGGTTTTTCATCCATAGAATTATGAGCACTAATAGTTAGAAGGACAGTGCCTCGAACATCTGCTTCAGTGAAGATCTCTAACATAGTATCATTTATGAATTAACTTAAAGTAATGAGGTAGAAAATTCTATGGTGCAGCTTCGGTCAACTTCAGACAGCTTAGCTCAGACATCTATCTCTTCAGTATTTCCTTCTAATTAAATTCTCACAAGAACCCATGTGGTTGGTATTAGTATTCTCATTTTTCAAGACAAAGAAGCTGAGGTAGCTGCTAAGTGGCAGTGTGGGTATTTGAACATGCAGCTGCCTGGTGTCCCTACTCTCACAGCAAAGAGTGGACTTCTAGTGAGCACAGAGGTTTCTTCCAGCCTATGCCATGAGTCTTGATAGAAATCTTCAGAGCTCAGGTGGGGGCCACTTTCAAATTCACCAAACAGAGATGGCACTGGAGTCCATGGTCCCATAAAGACTGTAAGAGCAGCCTCCATAGTGTGACTGACAGTAATATCAACTGATTTTTATATAGCATGTTTCTTCTTGGAGATTAGACCTCAGAGATGGATAAATCTTTAAAACCCAACAAAAACAAGGAAGGGACGAGTACTGCCCCAACTCCATGGTGGAGTTCCTTGTTTATTCCCAAAGGCAATGAAGAAATAACAGAGGAAAACCCATCACACCACGTTGGCCTCTGTGGTCAAGTGAAAAAGCATAAGTTTTAAAAAAAATCAAATTACCCAGTGTCCTCTGTGTCTGTAGACCACTGCGGGGAGACAGCTTGTCTTGTTCTCTCCTTGTTGAATGCAGAGGTAGTTATAAAGGCAGGGACTAAAAAACAAAATGATGTTGAACACATGTAGCCTCAAATACTCAGAGTGATGTTTGCCAAACTTGGTTTCAAACCTGTCAAAAGTGCTCCGTTTCTCAAGCCAAAGGTCTGTGGTACGCCATCAGGAAATGAAGAGGGATTTCCAGTGTCCCCAGAACCCAGTGATTGATATTTGTGCACACAGATGAGTGGGGAGGGAACTGCAGGCCTGGAGAAGCGGTCTTGTCTGCAGGAATAACAGCTCCGAAAAGGGAGGGCCAAGAGGAACAGCCCAGAGGAAATAGGAAATGAGGGGTGTTGGTAAACCAAGGAAAAAAGTGATGTAAGGGAGACGAAAGGGAGAGACTATTTTTAAAAATGAAAGATAGAGGAATAGAGAAGAAAAGGGAAAAATAAAGTAAAAAATTAAAGGGAGAGATAGAAGGAGGAAAGAAGAGAGAAAGAAGGCAAAAGAGAGTAAAAAGGGAATGGAAGGAGGAAAAATGATGACCAGAGACAGAGAAAATAAGAAAGGGGTGGGGGAGAAAAAGCAAAAAGGAAGTGAAAGTGCTTCCCACATCTACTGGTAAACGCAGTCTGGAAGCTTTGCTGCCAAACGTATAGCCAGGGTGTGGCTACCCGGTGTCAGCCAGCAGTCCTCCCTGTGCCCACCTGAGGGAGGAAAGGTCTAAATTGTCCTCTCCTCTTCCTTCTCCACCCCCTACCCTGCCCCAGCTCTGATGCTCTGGGTGGGAGAATAGAAAAGGAACCAAGAATTCTTTCTTCCCACCTCTGTTCCTTCTGTAATTTTATTTTGTTTGCATGTCTCCTTCCTATTTCATCTCTAAGTCCAGGAGGCACCTGTCATTCTATGTAGCACATACAGATAACCTTTTGATTCCACTGTACTGTCAACTCAAGGAAGACAGGTTTTGCCTTCATCATTACTGTAGCCCTTACACATTGATACACTTAATAAGTGTGTACAGTGGACCAATGAGCAAATGAATGAAGTCCCAAATTGCCATCAAGGTTCACGGATCCTGATTCCCCATGGTCTTCTGTTCTTGTACTGAGCCTTGCAGCTAAATGGCTGAACAAAATCCTTCCTGCCTTTCATTTCAGAAATGGGACCAACCCAGGAAAGACAGAACCAGCTGATGCTGGCTCTTGGATGCCAAAGTCATCATCAACAGGAACACAATAGTGGAACGGTACCAGGTACAAAACTGATGCTTCAAGCCTACATGTTCATTTTACCTGGCTTCTTACTGCCACAAGATGGCAGCCCTAATTCTGTTTTAGATTTTCTTAATGAGGAGGCGCTTGTAGATTACTAGGGAATGTAGGACAAGAGTGACTTAATACCTGGCAGCCATTTGCCCCCTAAAATTTGCAGGTATTATTCTTGTCTCCTATGGTTTGGTGCCTAATCTCTCCAGTAAAAAAATTCCTACACCTTGCAGAAGCCCTAGCACCCCAGCTGTGCAGTTCTTTCTTGCTGCCCTGACATGTTAAATTGTTTGCCAAAGAGAATACGTCACACTTTCTAAATGTGACCATAGCTTTTGAACTTCAAAATCCACAGACAATCCAGAGGACAAATGAATGCATGTAAGTCAGGATCCCTCTCTGTTTCTCTTAGATCTATTTATCAGAAACACAGAGAGCAAAAGGAGTTTAGTTTTCCCATTATTGTTTCCATTTCTGTTCTGATGAATTTATGTGTTTATTCAATAAGTAAAGAATGTGTAGCATTATACAAGGCAAACTATGACATTTTCAGGATGTGTTTCTTTATGCAAAACATTTACTTGATCTCCTCATTTGTATTGCATATATTATCACAAAAGTTCATAGGCATAACCACTAATGCATAGCTCAGCAAAAAATGAGGTTAGAAAGGAGAGGGCAAGTATATGCCTATAAGTTCTGATATAAAATCACTGTCTAAAAGTGGGACACGTGGGCTCGGGTGGAGTGGGGATTATGGCCCAACAGTGCAGTAGGCACTAGGCACAGATTAATGCCTGTCATGGGACGGCACCTCTGTAGCTTGCCCATTCAGGAAGAACTTCCACCTTTTGTGTTACCGAGCTTCACAAAAGCTTTGTAAAGAGGTGTTCTGATGAGGCTTCCTCATCAAAAAGCTGGGTCTCACAGAAGTTAAAGGGAAAATAAATAGTAAATGACTGAGCAAGGGTCCAGCACAGAAGGTAGCTCCTGTTTTTGTGAGACCTACTACCCATGGTCAGTGTCAAGCCTCTGTGGTTATGGCCCATGAAAAAAACAGCCCGGTAACCCTAGAGCCTGTGCCCTGCGTGTCCTGTCCCCTCGCCCGACTGATAGGGCTCCTCCCCTTCCCTTGAGTCCTCAGGAAAATAGACCAGGAGCCAGAATGCCGGCATATCTCAGAACCAGTGCCATAGCCTCCCCTACAAATGTCATTGTCATTATTGGAAGAATGGTAAGTAATTTAGAAAACTATTTTTGCCTCCAGCCCCACTTCTGCTTATGTGTGGAAACCCGTAGCTGGGTGCCCAGAACAAAGACTCAGTAAATGCTAGGGTCCCTCCTTCCCCCTCCTGGCAACAACGTTCAAACGTAATAGGTTCTTTGTTAACAGGCTGTTCGCCAACTTCCTTGGCACCCCATCAACCAACCATTGTTGGGTTTTACAACAACTTCCACTCCCAAAAGGTGGCACCACACATACTTACTTTGAACATGAAAGTAAATTAAATTTGCTTTGAGAATTTCATAAAGTCCTCTTGACACAGTGGGGTGTCACAACAGCAGGCTTAGAACTCCTGCTCTGAAGTACAACAGAATGGAAAGAAAATTTGACCAATGAAAGAGCCCACAAGCATACAGTTGCTAATGCACATTCATCTCTTTGCAGGAGGAAAATGCTTATAAAAAACTGTCAGGATGTGCAACAGTTACAGTCACATGGCTTTTGGGGTTTGTTTTTTGATAAAAAATAGTAAAAATAGGCATTAAATGAAAAAGAAAAAGTGCAATAGCTACTTGATCATTAATAAGAGGATTTCTGTGATCCTGTTTCATTCACTAGCCTAGCAGGGCCTTTATGTTTCTACTTAGTGTTACCAGAATCTGTAGTTACAATTTTAGCTCTAACTATAACAGTTAACAGCAAAACATTACCAAATCTGAGGCAGAGGTGGGGGGACCCACAAGATTTAGAGCCATGAGATCCAGGTTTGAGTTCTGCTTGTCCTTCAGCAATGCTTTCACCTCTCTGAGCTCTGACGTCCTTGTCTGCAAACCAAGGATAATGAGGCTGTTCTACCTCCATGAAGGCAGCATAACAGCCCCCCAAAGATGTCCATGTCCTAACGCCCAGCACCTGTGACCATGTATGTTACATGGCAAACAGAAACTGAGGTGCTACTCAGTTGATCTTAAAATAGGAAGATTATCCTGGATTATGCACGTGGGCCCCAGAGTAAGAGTCAGAAGAGGGCCCTAGAAAGACGTGACAGTGGAGGAAAGGCATAGAGAGATGCAGTGTTGCTGTAGAGACGGAAGAGGGGCCGTGAGAAAAGGAATGTGGATGGGCCCCTGGACGATGGAAAAGGCAGAGAATGCAGCCCTGTCGACACCTTGCTTAGCCCAGTGAGACCGGGTCTGACTTCTGGCTTCAGAAATGTTAGATAATGCATTTCTGTTGCTTAACTCACTAAGTTTGTAATTTTTATCTGTAAGTTTCTGAGGTATTGACAAAAAGTGATGCAACCACACCCTGGTGTTTTTCTCTAGAACATACTTTCCGAGCGTAAATCTCTTCATTTCATTGTTCTTTGCCATTTTGTGAGGCTGAGAATTTCCCAGTTCATTAGGTCCTGTTCCACTGGGATGAATAGTTCTTCCCTCCATCTATCTCATAGCAAGAAGAAACCAAACCACACCTTCAACATTCTGCTTGGAAATCTCCTCAGCTAAATATCCAAGTTCATCACTTACAAGTTTTGTTTTCCACATAACTACAGTTCCGCTAAGCTTTCTATCCCTAATGACAGTGGCCCCCTTTCCACCATGAAAAGGTGAGGAAACAGATTCCCCACTAAGAGGTTTCAGAAAGATGCACAGTTGCCTCACTTGGGTCTAGCCCAGTGAGACCTGTATTGGACTATTATCCCACAGAACTGTAGGATAATAAATTCGTGTTATCGTAAGTCACTAAGTTTGTGGTAATTTGTTTCTGCATCCACAGAAAACTCAAATACTCTCTTACAGGATTGCCCTGACGACTGAATCCATATTGCCTACAAAAGCTCTTTGCCATGCAAATGTGAAGGCTAATGCGCCATGGAACAAAGGCTCCTGCTCTGTGAACAGAAGGTCAGAAAGAATAGGTAAGAATGGCTACACAGGTGGCCACGCAGCAGGTAGAGCCCCAGGTGGAGATGGTTTCCCCTCCCCAGTGCTCACTCACCCACTTTCACGCCATCATGACGCTCACCCAGCACCTCGAGTTCTAAGTGAGGGTGATATATTTGTCATTCAAGTTTGCACTACCCAAAACCCAGCACAGTGCTGGGATGCCATAGGTGCTCCAAGGATCTAAGAAAACACATAAATGAAGGCACAGGAGCTGGGGTAAACCGGGCCTGGGAGGCCTGGAGAATCCGCCCTCTTGGATTTTCTCGTTACCATCTCTCATTTCCCTCTTCCCCCTGCCCCAGCAGTCCGTTGTTTACCAATGTGTATTCCACAGGATGCTTTGCTGAGCGGCACAATCCCCTGGAGGCTGTGTTACAATGCAGAGAGCTGGGCCCAGCTCCAGTGACTGTGGGTCTGGGTGGGGCTCAGGAACCTGCATTTCCAACAAGTTCCCAGGTGAGGCCAAGGCTGCTGGTCTGGGACCACACTTTAGGAACCACCTAAAGTGGAATATTCAAAGTGTTCTGTTCTCCCTGATCAGCTTGTGACAAGAGTCATCGTTTACATCCCAACTGGAAAGTGAATGTCAGGGGGAAAAGCCAGGGCTATGAATGGCCTTGCCCCAAGTAAAGAGTTCTCCTCTCTTCCCAAGCTGAGAAATTTTACTTGACCTTCTTGGGAAAGGAGGCCATTAAATACAGATATCTCCCTTTGCGGTTATATCAGTCACTAAAGTCTTCTGGGGAGTCACCTAAGAAGACTCCTGCTTCTTAAAATCCTATTGCAGCATTTGATGGAAGAGGTGAGTGAGAGGGGTAATTTGGAAATGTGGGGACATTGGAAGCAGGAAGGGCTATGGGCTTTGCCTAGTCAGAGGACAGAGGGGTGGTCATCTCCAGACACAGAAGAGAACCCCAGGGAGCAGGGTGTGGACCCATTGCTGCCTGGTGCCCTTGACCCATGTTTCATAGCACTCTCTGCAGTGACCCTCCTGTCCCCTTCCCTGTGACCTGCATGGTCCTGTTAGAAGGCCCTCTAGGGCTGGGAAGTGTCTGTGCCTGCCAGGTACAGCACTGAATGTGCTGAAGGACTACCTTCTGGCAGTCAAATTTGGTAGCAAATGAACAGAGCGAGCTGCTTTTCCTGATAGATAGACTATAGATTTTAAGAGTCATCACAAAAAGTCAGTCATGTCTGACCATGACTGACTTCTGGGCCTTTTCTGTAGCGTTTCTGTGGAGTAATGAGTGGAATGCTATTTTGTCTTACTGGCGATTCTGTGAGCACTGAGGTATTTCCCTGTGAGCCTACAGTGAGGCCTGTGTCCATGGGAAGCGCCACCTGGCCCTTCCTTTCACCACCACCAGGATGACCTTTTCAAATCAAGATCTGATCATGTGAGCCCCTGCAGAAGACAACCCAGTGGCCTTTGAGGGCTTTTCCTATAAAGACCAGAATCCTGGACGAGGAGACCCCAGGCCCTACATTGGAAGGGGCAGGCTCTGCTCTCACCTCTCACCTGGTACTCTGTTCTCTGTGTTCTACAAATGAGCCAATAGTGGCCAAAGGCTGTTTACTTCCTCTAAGCAGGATGAAACCTGATCGTTCCAAAGCCTGCTGGCATCAAACTCGAATTTTTCTATACCCAATTGTTTTAAAAATAGCCAAACAAGCAGACTTTTAGCCATTTAGACCCAGCCTGCTTTGCATACCCTGTGAAACTACACCCAGCATCTGCTAGCCATTGATAAGCTATTGCCTTGTGGTTCTAACACCCCAAGCTGTTAAAGCCCTTGCCCTTCACAGCTCTGTGACCCAAGACTCCTGGCTGTGCTACTCAGCCGGCATCAACTAGACACAGAAGTCCTGGCATGCCAGCACCTCTCCTTCCCTTCTGGGTAGTGGTCCCCACGCCACAGCATGTGGACGTCGCTATCACAAAACCCCGCCTCTCGTGATCACATATTTTTCCTAGATCGGCCTCAAACTCCGCAAACCCTGTTTCCCTGACTGTCCGGCTCACCATACTGGTCTCTCAGCCTCGTCCCCAGTCCTAAGGGAAGTCCCTCCCTTCCCACCTCTGGAGCTCCCCTCCTCCCCAGTCAGCTAACACACACTCCTAGGGCCACACTTCTCCTGTGGTTGGGACCAGCTGGACGAAACTGCAGCTGCCATTTTCTGAGATTAATTTCCCAGGGTGATCGGATGAGCATCTCTGCCTTGCACTAGACGGTGATCTATCTAGACATAACAGTGGGCTCCCTGTCAGCTCTGTTCACCATTGTAACCCTGGCCCCCCAAGCGCCTGGCATGCAGCCTGTGGCATGGAAAAAGGAACACAATGGTTTAATGAGGGTCGTGCTGACATGAAATTTTCCAAGTTCCTATGAAAAACATATGATCTCGGCTCTCCTGAGAATCAGTGCTTTAGTCTATCGGGTTCTATCCAGATCAAAACACTGGTACTGGCCTTTCTGCTTATTTTGAGAGCTTCACGTGGCTCCTGACTCACTAAGATGCCGACTCCTGGCACCTCCACTGGCCACCCAACAACCAGAACGATGTTTTCAAGTCACAGATCTGATCACATCAGCCCCAATCTAGGTGGCATGAAAGGAGAGGCAGGTGTTTAAAGAGAATAATTCTACCATTATTTATCATCATTTAGAAATATGTAATGTTTCTACTATTTTCACAAGTATGTCAGTGTTGGTGATTAAACAGAAATTACAGCGAAAGGTGAAGTAGAGCTATCCTTACCAGACACTCCTTCTGCCGTGTGAAATATCATCATCACCTTACCCCCTGTCCACTGTCACCAGCTTGATGGAGTTTGCTCAAAAACCACTGAGTCTATGCACGAGAAGGGGCCACCCCTGGCTTATAAACACAAGAAGGAAATAGCAGGGATGGGGCTGGGGGACATTTATGGAGCTGACCGGAGATTGCTTTATCAAGCATTTCCTGAGCTTCATATCTACTCTCTGCAGACCGGCCCACCCCACTGGCTGCAGCGTGGAACTTTCCCTGCAGCACCTGACCCTTTAGGGGACCAAGCTCAGGAAAGTCATCGAAGACCACAAAGGCAGCGGCACCGCGCGAACTCCGCCTTTACCGAAAGCGTGCCCGCAGTCCTGGCCCTGCAGCGTCGAGTAGTCCAGGCAGCCAGCTCTCTCCTCCAGGGCCGGGCAGGGCGCCCCGCCGTTCTGGGGCTCCTGCTGCACCTGGCGCCTCCGCACGCGGGCCATGGGCTTGCACTGGTCCGCACAGCCGCTCCAGGGGCTCCACTCCCCCACGATGCACGGGCGAGCTGAAAAAGAGCACCAGGAGACAGTCACCCAGGAACCCCAGCCAGCCGCCTGCCGGGTTGCTCCCTCCCACGTAGCAGTGGCGTCCAGCCCGTGTGAATTGCATCAGCAGGGGCGCGATCTCAGCGGGGTCCCCTCTGACACTGGCTCCACAGCCCTGATGGCTGACGGAGGAGAGGTACCTCTCAGAGGCAGGCGGAGGCTCAGAGGGGTCAGGGAGATGGGTCTGAGCCAGGGACACACCTGAATAAAGAGACCATGCCTTTAGGGTACTTCCTCATACTCCCCAGGCTTAGTTTAGATCTTTGGTTTTTCCTTGATTTTAACTTTATCCTCCCCTGGCCAGAACATATTTTATTGTAACAATAATGTATATTCATTGTAGTAAATGTAAAGGAAAAAACAAAAGTATAAAAAAGAAATCATACCTCACCCACCAATAATCCCATCAGCAATTACTTACCCAGAGAATTGCAGCAGCTGTGTCCCTACAAGACTCAGGCTTAGGCCTGCACCAAGGGACCCCTGACCTTAAGCTGCTGCTGGATGCTCACTCTCACCCTCCTGGTTCATCGGCTCACAAGTGATGAGAGCTGGAGTGTAGCGACGAGCAACACGGGCACCGAGGTGAAGAGCATCGTGGTCACCACAAAGGGGCTGAGTCAGGGCAAGAGTCTGGCCGGAGCATTAACTCCCTGGCCATGACTGTGAGGTCAACGTGGGCACACACTTAGCTTTCCCATTTAAAGTCCTGATGAGTCTATAAAAGGACTGTAATGAATTTTTTAATTGAATCATTTCAGGACTGGAAATTAAATATAAGAAATAGACAAGATAGAAGATGTACGTACCTCTAAACTAGATGCCAAAACTCTTTCCCACAAAATGTGACCCACTTTCCCTATTGCCCTGATATTTGCAAGTTTGCAAAGCCTTCACCAAGAAAGCACCCTAACTTCTTTGAAATCCTAGTTTGGACTTCCAACAGCTTGTACTTGAAAACTCACTTTGCTCCTCAGAACACTCTAGTTTAGGGTTCATGGCTCTGGGAAGCACATAGCAACAAACACATAGCTACCCTTGAAGTAAAAAGGGTCACACCTGGGGGTGGGTAAGGCAGGGGGGAAATGGGGACAACTATTCCCCATTGTTGTTCAACTGTAATTGAACAACAATCAGGAAAAAAACGAAGGTTAGTAGACCAAAAAAAAGTCACACCCAATATAACCACCTGTCAGTAATTCAAAAACTTCAAAGTGTTTTAAAATATGTTTTTATTAATCATCTAAAAACGCAGAGGTATCACGTGTTAACTACCTAAATAAGCAAGAATGAGCCACATTAGAGTTTGTTCCCAAAATCTGCGAGGTATACATCCTTTGGAAATTCACTAATGGGTCATTTCCTGCTCCTCTCATCTCTTGTTGACTCTGCCCTTTTCATGTTCAGGATCCCATGATTAAATTGGCCCATAGAACCACAAGGCATTTAAAGAGGCTGCCAAGCTAGGAGCTGGGTGAAAAGGACTTCTTCCATCCTTAATTCTTTCAATAACTCTCTTCCTACCCAAATCTCATCATCTTGTAACATACCTAATCTTGCCCTCATGTTTGGACTTGAACAACTCTCACTAACACATTTTTTAAAAAATATACTTGTTTTAAAGATTAACATTTTGACATGACCAAATGGTGTAATATGGCCTTCAGTTACACTTTACCCACGCAGTAAAAGATGGCAGCGGGGAGAGCTGTACAGCTGAATTTAGTCTCCTAGTATTTCTTTAACATTTCTTGTCTCATGTCGACTGTTTACTTATTGTATTCAGTTTGACTCATGGTGAAAATCCTCAAATCACAGAATAATTGAATCAGCTGTTGTTCCTATTTGACTAAAGTTTGTCCTTAGCAAAATGCTATGTCCCGTTTCTCCGATCAATGACTTTAACAACCTCATAGAGAATCCAAACACTCTGAGGCCCTGAACAACATCTTGATGGCTGCATGGTAACTAACACAAAAGGAAAAAAGTTTCCGTAGGATTATAGTGCTCACAAAAGCTGTTCCACAAAATATTTTGAGTTGGAAGGTTAATCTGAAGAATTTATTCTTATCTATACACACACACAAAAATCTATTCTTGGTTAATTTGTGAACTTTTGATGATTCGGACTGGAAGTCATCAACATCACAAGCAATCTTTGGTCACGAAGGTCAAGGTAAGTACGGAAACTTTGGACAGACTTATTACCATGAGTCATATATTACGCTGCAGGACACAAATTCCCCTTTGAACTATTCCAGGTTCTTGTCCCCATCCCACTAAGCATATCTAATTTACATCTACATACAGCATATCAAAATATTCTTTTCTTCAAAACTGATTTTCTCAATCTTCATATTTCATTTGCTATTACTGGGACCCAATAGACTGTTACTTAATGATTACACAGGGTGATTACCTTGGACTCCAAGTTTGTTACAGCTTCCTGATGTCTTGAAATGACGACATTATTTTAGAGGATGGAAGCCTAGAGTTAATTGTGCCAGGAAGCTTGGCAAGCCCTTTTTTTCTTCTTTTTTAAAACTCAATGTAATATTCAGGTTGAAGTTCCCCAGAAGCAGATTCTGAGACATGGATTTGAATACAAATCATTTATTTAGGAGGTGATCCCAAGAAGCACCATAAGGGAATGCAGAGCAGAGATGGCAAAGTAGACACAGAAGAGAGGCCAGAGAAATGAAGTACACACCCAGGATCCTGCTTTAGGCCCAGTGGGCACCAATGGCCCTCAGTTTACTGGGAAATGAGATAGTGGAAATATCCAGAGTGTAAGGAATTATGAAGTCCTTCCTGATGCACCAGCTAGACCCCCTTCTCAAGAGCTTTCTGATTATCATCAGATGTCTCTACCATATCCACAGGAAGAAAGGCCAAGAACAGAAAAGTAAGATATATTTCAGTAATGGATCTGTGCACAAGAGCAAGGTACATTTTTACATGTCCTAACAGGGTATCCAGTCATAGTCATGCACAATGATCTTAAAAGATTTGCCACTGATCTTTTTTAAAAAAATTTTTAAGTGGCCTTTTTTTTAAGTGGCTTGCCATTGCATTGAAACTCTTTGCCATGTGTGACCAATCTGTACCTGCCCCTCCACTCCCACCTGCAGTCCCCTACCCCCACTGCCTCTGTGCCAAGCTCCAGCCACCGGCCCCTTGACCCCTGGAAGACACCAAACTCTTTCACACTCTGGGACCTCTGTTGTATGTTCGCTCTGCTGAGAATGTTCCTCCCACACTGGGCATGGCTGGGTTCGGCTCATCCTTTAGGCCCCAGATGAATTATTTCCTCTTCAGGGAGTCCTTCTCAGGTCAGCCTAGCTAAGTCAGCTCCCAACCCCCACTACACACACCCCTCAAAATTATTTCCTCTCAGAGCTCAGTGTTCCTTGTTTTCTAGCATCTCCGTGATTCATAATTACATATTTATTTTTTGTTGTTTATTTTCGTTGAGTTTTTCACTTCATGCCTAGAGCTTGGCACTTGATAGTTACTCAAAAAATACTTGCTGAATGAATGAATGAATGTCATGGCATCGGGCAAGTTCCTCATTCGTCCTAAATAATGTTGTACAATGAAATAGATTCTGTGTTGTTCATATAATTAGTTAGAAGCCAGAGCACTGATAGAGATCCCTGAGTGGGAAGGACAAAAGTACCTCCCAGAGCCCAAAACATGGGATTCTTAACCTGGCCCAGAGCTGGCTGCGCTCTCCTGGCAACGGCGGCCTCAATGGAGGGCAATGGAGGCCTCAGTGGGGGTCACTGGAGGGAGCCTGCCTCCTGTGCCTCCAGATTAGAAAGACTCCAGCTTCTCCTGGCAGACCCATGTCCTCAAATCCCTTCTAATCCATCAGTATCTCCTGCTAGTACCACATCTGGTACATAACAAGCTTCTTTAATTTTATTATCTGTGGTGTGAAGTGGTTTTTCCTTTTATCTGAGCCAAATTTCCCTCCCTCAAGAATTTCAGAATATCGTGCAAAAAATATCTGTGCCTATCTTATCTGTGCCACTCAGGGACTTAATGCTGTTTTAGCAGCTACCCTTCCCTGCAGCACAGGTTTTCAGGTTGACGGCTCCAGTTTTTGGACCCATCTTTCTATCAACACTTTCACTCTCACAATTACCACTGGACTTTTGCTAGGTCCATTCAAGCCTCAGCGAGTTGTGGCAGCCAAAACGAGACACACTGTTTTCAGTCTTTAGGTACCAAATGATCATTTAAAAAATATTTTCCTCTAATGCTTTTCTTGATGATGCCAAACACACACACACACACACACACACACACACACACACACACACACACACACACAGCAACAAACTAAGCTGGCAGCCAGAGTCCTTCCTTTCGTAAATATAATTTGAATTACTTCTTCTCAGTGGAAGGCCTTGCTCTTACACTCATGCGGCTGTGTCTCCTTGGTTAATCACACAGACACTCAGGCATTCACCTCTGTAATCTGGCCCTGCCTGCTTGGCTCTCTGCCACCTCAAAGTTAAAGGCCACCCACGATCAAGTGCCTTCTCCCTTACATTGTTGAGTTCACTCATTCTTAAGGAAATATTCTTTTAAAACTTTGCTCACAGCAGTGCCATTTATATGTGGCTTTTTTCCCTGACATTTTATGGAAGAAAAAGAAAGCCCCTTTATGCACGAATACACGCACACACATACACACACACACCCCCCCATCCCATGGTGACACAATTTTAAATATATGTTATCTGCCTTATTCTCTCTCCATATGTATATCGTTTTTTGTGAAACTTTGTCAAAACTTCTCTGAAGGTCAAGTGAGACTACCTTGCTCAAGTGACTATTTACCCCCTGAAAAAAGCTCCAGTAAAATGATCAAGCATTGTTTTCCTGTTGCAAAAGCCATGTTATCTGGCCCCTGAAAGGTTTTTGTTCCTTTTGAGACATTAACTGGACAAGTGCATGAAATGCTAGCAAGACGATGAAATGGGCTGCCTCACCTGAAAAATGAAATTTTATTACCAGGTCAGCCCAGAAAAAAGGAGATGCAAACTTAGAAGATAATGGTGCTTTTCCTGCACCATAGTAAGTGTCTGGGGGAGTTGTTTTATTCTTTTGTGCATTTCTATATTTTCGGAAGTTTCTGCAACATATATTTTGTAGTCAAGGAAGAAAAATGCTATTTTTAAAAGGGCATGTGGATACGGCCCAGCTGGCAATGCCCTCTGAAACCACAGGTAGTGTTCCCTAGGTGGAACGAGGGCTCATGTGTTTTGACAAATGTTATCAAGGCATCGTGATAGTCATCAGGGATTCCGTGAAGGAACAGGGCACACATTTTGCTCTGGAGGAATGCAGGGTGGATGGAGACAGGAGGCTCACTCCCCGCTCCGGGATTTACCTGGGGCCTACCCTGCAAAGTATATACACAGCTTCTCATAAGGCCTCATTTCTCTGAGGCGCCAATAACATAATGTTTTAATGTTTCAGCTCTAGACCCAGAGTTCCTGGGTTCAAATCCTCTTTACTTATTAGTGGTGTGGCTTTGGACAAATTGCCTAAACTCTAACCTCCTGTTTCTCTGAATACCTTGTCCATAAAACGAGGAATACAGGTATACCTTATCTTACTGAATTTCACTTCATTGTATTTTGCAGATGTTGCATTAAAAAAAAAAAAAAAGTGAAGGCAAGACCCTTCACCAGAAAAAAAAAAAAAAAAAGATTATGACTTGCTTCATTGAGATACTCGCTTTATTGCAGTGGTCTGGAACGGAACCCGCGATCTCTCGGAGGTAGGCCTGTAACCTCAGCGGGTATGAGACCTGAGTCAGTTCGGAGCTGTGAGGTACCTGAGTCAGTTCGGAGCTGTGAGGTGCCTGCGAGAGGGCCTGACACAGAGTTAATGCTGGGTGAGCCTTGACAACCTTACGCTCCTTGACTGCACTCCCAGGGCTGCGGCCAAGTCCTGCCAGCTAAATACTGACTGGGGCCAGGCCCTGCTAGTGTTTTCTGCAGAGACAAAGGCAGGGGAAGCCACACATTGTCTCTCGGCCCCTCTGGCTCCAGTAAAGCCTCACCTTTCTAAATTATTAGACTGTGACATCCTTCCTTTGGCTGAGTTACAAAGCCCATGTTTTCAAGCACGGTGCCCCATCTTCCTCCAGATACAATGACGGGTTTGGCCAGTTGGTTTTTCTCATTCCCTATAAATGCAGAAGAGATTGATCCATACAGGCTACTCAATTGTTTTTCTCTCCACATGGGTTAATTATTCCTCTTTCCTTAAATTGCTCACCCAAGATCTAATGCAATCCACTGTTTCTATGATCAGGAACCCAGCTGATGAATTAGAAACTGACGTGTTCTGAGCCTGATAAGCCAGCCTTCCCAAAAGTTTGTCCAGGGTAGGTAATGTGTATCTGTCTCCCTTCTCTCTCTGTGCCCTTCTCCCTATCCTTGATCAGTCCAAAGGAGAATTTCCTATCTTTTTTTTTTTTTTTTTTTTTTTTTTGGTGGGGAGATGTGCATAGTTGGTATTAAAACTCATGCCATTATCATTACGAGAATTTTTGAGATAATTGGCTTCGGAACAGATTTTTTTTGGCAGCTTAGTAATTCTACAGTTCAATAATATTTTTATATTTAATGAGTTTTTTAAAAAATTCTATCTAGAAAAAGATATTCCAGTATTTCATCTTTTAGCCACACACCCCCAAAATGTGTTTATTAGGATGAAAAAGTCAGAAGGAATAAAAGTAAGGCATGGTAAATTCTTCAACAGTTCCATTTTCTGTTCACATTTAATGTCACTTCCGTCATAAAGGCTTCTGAGAGCATCAGTAGGTAACATAGCACTGAGTAAGAAGAAGAGATTCTAAGAGGCAGAATGGTTCTCTGTCTATAGGGTAGCTGGGTGCTCTGTCCTGCTGAGCCTCAATTTACGTAGGAATAAATAATAGCCACGCATTGGCACGCACAGAAGTGGCTGCTGGCATCCTGAAATCAGGCAGCCTGGGTTCAGCTCTCACTCCACTGTCTCTTCACGGTAACTTTGTAAGGGCAGAGCCCCCAGCAGTCTCAGTGGCTGCAGCAGGGAAATGCTTATATGGGCCAACTCCACCTTCTTGGAACCCCAGACTCTAGCTCAGCTGTGACGCCCGTCCAGGGTCCCCTGATGCCCTCACTGCTCTGAGGGGTCAGCAGGCTCAGTCTCGCCAAGTGGCCAACTTCCAACTCTTTCTATTTTCTTCTTCCCTGCCCTCCAAAAGCTCCAGGTGCAGAGAATTGACTAACAAGGAGACTTTTCTGTCCCAAGTCTTCTGCTAGGCTGGATTTCTGAGTCGTTCCAGAGACAGCAAGGTCACCTGCTAGTCCCTACTCAGTAAATCTCCACTCCAAAATGAAGTCTTTTTTAAAAACATTTTTACTTCCTGGGCTAAAAATCAGGGATTTATTTTAGACCAAATAAAGATTTTGAGGATTCTGCAACTGCTCACAGTGGTGTTAGTCCTCATTAGAAAGCCAGTTCTCCTCAGGACACTGGCTTCACCTTTCCCCATCCCTCTCTGCGCCTGCATCTCCATATCTAACTGTATTCACCAGGTCTGTCCAATTTGCCAGGGTGGCCTCAGGAGCTGACCTAGTGAGGAACTGGTCACGAAAAGCTGACGCCCTCAGGTAACTGCTGGAATCCTCCTAGAATTCCTTCCCCATTTAGAGACTCCCTGCTCATTCTGCAGAACTGAGCTTGCAGTTCCCTGCCTTTGGGAAGCCTTTCTGAATTCCTCCGGTCTTCTCAGGTTTTCTTCTCTACCCTCCAGGTCCTTATTTTGGCACTAAGCGTGTTGCACACAGTCTTGCATGTATGTTTCCCTGCTCGACTATGAACTTCTAGGGGGCAGAGACTGTGCCTTCATCATCTCTGTGTCCCTGTGCTTCCCAGGGCAGGTGATCAGAGCTGCAAGAATTCTGTATTTACCTTTGGAATGCAGGCAAACCCCTCATGGGAGAGGGCTGAGTGAGAGACGCTGCCCCAGTGGGCAGGCTTCCCTTGGAGATCCAGGTAACTGAGGAAAACAGGCTGGGGTAGGATGGGGCGACCGAGAAGGGGACAGCTGGCACAGGGCACTGCATGTCCTAAATAACTGACGCCACCTTATATTGGTAGTAAAATACCCTGACTTTGGAACAGGAAAGGGAAAGCAGCTTATCAAAAAGAAGATCAATATAGTAGGTAAATCATTAGCTTTCAACTAGGATAAAAAAAAAAATCTTAATGTTTTTCGACTGTGTTCTTTCTTCAACAGCAGACCACCGGGCATGGGCCAGTGAGTGGCCTTTTCCTGCAGAAAGGGGCAGAAGGGGCGCTGCTCTCCACCAGGCGCCGGCTCCCCGGGAGATGACAGCCCTGCAGGGTACACTCCCAGGAAGATGCTGAGGACCCCACAAACCCAGGATCCTTGAGGTCAAACCGGGGGGACATGATTAACAGGGAGCAGGGCTACTTCCATTGCCAGAGCTGACTTCTATCAGGAACACCTTATTTTTTAGGACTAGCCTCACCATTTCTTCCTTTACCTTTTAGTTTAATTAAATTAACATTTATTGAGCCCCTATCGGATACTGTGGGAAATGTAAAAATGAAAAAGACCGATCCTAAATGAAAATCAGCAAGAATAAAACATAATAGGAACCCTGAAATAAAAATCAAGCTGTCTAGATAAAACCGAATTCAGAGAGCAGATGGGCTCCTTCCTATGAGAAAGGGCTATGTACGCTGCATGTCCGGAGTCCGGAGGCGAGGCCAACTGTTCTCCAAGAACTTGTTCTGCAGGAGAAAGTCCCCTCCCAGAGCAAGCCCTGGACTCTGAGTGGGATCACTACGCGTTCCTTCCCTCTTCACCTCCACCTACCCCTAAGATGCCGGAGGATTAAAGCCAGAAGGAAAGTGGTGGAACCCGGCCCAGGGGCGTGCCCCGGGACTTGCCAGAGCCATTTCTCCAGGCGGGAGATGGCCCTGTCAAACGAGTTCCTGAGAGGAAGAGTTCATCCAGCAGAGGTGTGACCCCATACCCTTCAAGAACAGAGGCTCCAGCACCTTCCATACAGGCTCTGGTGGGAGGGGTGCTTTGGAGCAATCAATATGTCTAGTACATGGGGCTGGGAGCACCTAGGGTAAAGCGCCTGGGGTGCACACAGATGAAGGGGCTGGACGACCCTGGACAGATGGAGCTTGGTGTACTCGGATGCAAGGGGCTGTGGAGTTGGGCGTACCTGAATGGAAGGGTCTGGAAGACCCGAGGATGAAAGGAGCTGGGCGTACGTGGATGGGGAAGGGATGGGGCGGGTCGAAATAGAGGGACTGGACCCACCGGAACGAAGTGGGGTGTGGGCTGCGGTTCTCGGTGCGGGACCGTGTGCCCCTAGGCTGCGGGCGAGTGGCCGGCGCCCCACCCTCGGCCCTGCCACCCACCTGGGCATGCCCTGTCGTAGTCGAAGCAGCAGTCCCCGGTGAGGCGGCAGGCTTGGTCGCAGAAGCATGTCCCGTAGACCCTGTCCAGCCTCCAGCCGCGGGCGAAGCAGGCGGGGTCCCGGCCCGGGCAGCAGCGCCCCGCCTCGACGCAGCCGGCCAGAGCCCCGGGCCACAGCCGCGCCAGCGCGCACAGCGCCAGCCACAGGGTCCTCGTGGCCAGCATTCTGCGGCGCCGGCGAAGCACAGACCTTCGGAACAAGGGCTGACCTCCTCGGAGAGCGGCGGCCCCCGAGCAGCCGGCGCGGCCGGCCACGCGCAGCCCCACCGGGCCCTGCCCCGCCCGCGGCCCCCGCCCCCCGCACCGCCCCTCCCGCGGGGCGGGTGCTGCGGCCTCCCCGGCCCAGGTGGGGCGCGCTCTCCCCGGGCGCCACGCAACCGGCGCTCCGGGCGCCAGCTCCAGCCCACCGGGACGGCCTGGGAGCGAGCGGGGAGCAGGTGCTCTGGGATCCCACCTACCGTGGGGCCAAACTCGGCTTCCTAACGTCTGGGACACGTTACCAAGTGGCCATTGTCACTGTTGAGGCAGCCAAGAGCGCTCCCTGTGCACAAGGGGGTCTCAGAAGCGCAGTGCGCGCGGGTCACCCTGACTTCGCCCAGGGATGCCCTTGCTGCATTTATTCTGGGACCCCAGTCCCTGCGGCCACAGAGGCCCTCAAAATCGAGATACGACCGAAGAAGCATCCTTTCATTCCGTAGCACTTTATAATGGGATTTCTCTACTCGAGGAAAACGCCACTTTGCTTCATTGAGGAAGCAGTTAATAAACAGAATAAACTAATAAGCAACATAGAACCAGAGACATGGAAACATGGAACAAACTGACAGCGGCGAGAGGGGAGGGAGGAGGGGGATAATGGTGGAAAGAAGGGGAAGAGGCTAGTCTAAGGGCACGTATGAATGACCCACGGACATGGACAACAGTGAGGGGATGGGCGGGGCGGGGGACGGGTGCTGAGCAGAGGAGGACAAAGCGGGGAAAATTGTGACAACTGTAATAGAAGAACAATTTTTACAAATGTGACGAGAAGGAGAAACAAAATCTGAACGGTGCTGTGCTTTCTGTTAAAGTAGACTTCCTCAAAGAAATTCTATTTAATAATGTCTTAGAGATAACTTATACTTTAATAAAGTGCTTGTCTAACTTTGTATACACATTTTCTTCCATCTTTTTCTCCAAATATGTTTTCTGCACCTTTTTTTGTTAACTAAAAATTATCCTGGAAGTTTCATTTCCATTTATGCTCTTAAATCATTTAAACTATTATAGTTTTTGTGAGAAACCATAAAGTTTTCTGTATCTATGAAATCTAAGAAATCTGATTCATCTGCAGACAAGTTTGTTCCCTTTCTCTTACAAAGATTTCTCAAAGTAAAATTTTCTTTACTCTTGAGAGAGAAAAGTAAAAATGTAGAAAAAACATTACTACAAAAGTAGTAAAACAATACAATAATCAAACATTAAAAACAAGCAAAAAATGTCATGAAATGAAAAAGATTTAATACATTGTAAGAATCGTGTCTTAGGAACGCTAATCACAAAGTTTGAGCAATGAGAATGTAACTTTTTTCTATCATCTAAGAAAAACACACTTCCATGTCAAAGAAGAAATTCTTTCTTTGTGATTATCTACATAAATAAAGATCAGGGTAGAAAATTGTTTTTTTTTTATTTTCCTATTTAAGTCTCTCTTACTTTTTTCCATTTAAATAAATAATATATGCTTTTTTTTATATATATTTTTAGTTCTTGGTAGTTGCTACTAAATAGCTTTGTCAGCAAATTATACCCTCTGCCTTTTACCTGTATTGCATGTTTTAATAGCAGCTTTGTACTAACTCATTCAAGTAATTTATCCCTCACTTCTTCCCCAAGGCTGTCTGCTTTACGGAATGCCTTTGGCTAGATGTATTCTGTAATGCCATTAGAATCTGGAATTGTTCCAGGAAAAGTGTAAAGGAAAATGATTCACTGACAAGTTCATTTCCAAGAATAAAACATGAAAGGAAGACATACAGACAGTGGAAGAAGATGATCTCCTATATAAGAGAATTGAAAATACAACGTCGAATGGTTGCTCAAAGATTACTTTCACTTCTTTTTCTCTTATCCCCAGACAAAACAAAAACCCAAAAACAAAAACCAAAAGGTTGGGGGTCTATGTTCAGGAAGCTTGGGTTCAGTTCTGATGTTATGATCTCTGACAAATTACCTCAGTTTCTTCACTTCAAACACAGAACACTCACCGTTTTCAGACTGCTGTGAGATGTCCAGAGAAATGGGGCGATGTGTGTAAACTGAGCACAAAGTGAGCGCTAAAGTCCTCTCCACTCCCACTTTATACCTTAAGCCTAAAGACAAGGAAAAGACAAGCTCATTGTTAACAGTGTACAAAGTAGGGGAAAGGAGAAAGTTAAAAAGAAAAAGACAAAAACCACAAATAAATGATCACTACTTTGTGTCAAACATAGAAGGGAACTTGTCTCTGGAAAGTCACACTGAGAGAAATTCACAGTTTCACGTCAAAGCTCGCACTGTCTTGAAAACCTTAAAATAAGGCACCCCGCAGTGGCCCTTGCAAAGGAAGAAGTTCCCGCCAGAACGCGGCCACGTCAGGGGGGCGCTGGTGTGTAAAACAAGGGAGTTCCCATTTTTTCTGGAAACTGGGTGCGGTCAAATGTAACAATTTGTCTCTCTGTTTTCCATGTTTTGTAGATGTTTCCAGTGATCGCATCCCAGTGATCGCATGGGTGAATATAGGAAGTCATCAAACACACCTCAAAAGATACCCTTTTCTTCTGGCATTACTGTTGGAAGCTGTGCAAGACTGGCCAAATTACAGAGGGAAGTGAAGGCTTTTCTGTCCCTCAGATTCCAGAAGGCAGTAATTTTAAAGGACATCCTCATATATGACCTCATTGAGCCTTGCACCCCCATTTTGCATATGACGGAGATTAGACATGTAGCTAATTAGTGGCAAAACTGGACTAGAACAAGTGCAATTCTTCCCATCACTTCAAGCTCGGCGGTGGTGGTGAGATGGTAATGAAAAGTAAAGGACAAGTGAGATTCAGCACTGTACGAAATACTGTAACTAGTGCACAGGAAAGGAAAATAAAAATCATTTGCAAAAATCTTTGGATACATTTAAAATATAAGAGGGACAGAAAGTGGCTAAAGACTTCCAGGATATTGTCAGGAATGTAGAGGGAATCTCTTGAGGTTGACAAACTGAGTAGTTGATTCCTAGGCAGGTTTTCTGGGCATTTGTTAGAGGCAGAATATTGCATGGATATTAATAACGTCATATTTTGTTGACTCTCAGACACATTTAACTGTAAGATTCACCACTATTTTATGTAATACTAAGATAGAGTATAAAGTTTACAGGATTGTCTTAGTCTGTGTGGGCTGCTATTAAAAAAAAATACCATAAATTGGGTGGTTTGTAAACAACAGAAACTTTTTCCTCACATGTTTGGAGGCCAGGAAGTCCAAAATTAATGTGCTGGCATATTGGGTGCATGGTGAAAGCCTGCCTTGTGGTTCACAGACAGTGCCTTCTAGCTGTAACTTCATGTGGCAAAAGAGCTGGGGAGTGCTCTGGGGTCTCTTTTATAAGAGCGCTCGCCTCATTCGTGAGGAGTCCAGCCTCATGACCTAAGCAGGTCCCAAAGGCTCCCCTTCCTAATCTCATCACCTTGGGCATTAGGTTTCCACATATGAATTTGGGGGGCACACAAATATTCAGTTCATTGCAAGAATGGATCACAGTTTCAGAGGTGTTAAAATATGAGAAATGAGCATTTTAGAATGAATGAAAACTAGAAAGAGGTAACACATTCATCACCTGATATTACAGATAATCCAATGAGGCAGATGTTAATTTTCTCATTTGGTTGAAGGGGAGGCTCAGAGAGCTCAGTAACCTCCCCAGTTTTCCAGGGCCTCGAGCCCAGCCCTCTCCAGGCTGAGGGCCAAAGATGGGTGAAAAGCAGTCCTACCCTAAAGAGACCACAGTCTCATGGAGATAGTAGACATGTGACTGTCATTGCACATGCTGTGGTGGGTAGTGAAAGTCTGACACACAGACTCTGGAGTGGGTAGGGGAGGAGACTGAATATGACTTATAAAGACTAGGACTGGCCACCATTGGCCTCTTTACTTTTTCCCTAGAAAGTGCAGATTTAGCCCCAGGAAAAACTCACATAGCTTTTGGGAAGGTCCTGCCTTGATAGGCTGATGCCTATTCATGTAATAATGCCTAAAGTGCAGGAAGGATTCCAAAGATTTTTGCTTAAGACGAGTGTGCATAACGTACCTTGAGCAATTTTTCTACAACCTACAACAAGCAGTCAAGGGCACCACCACAGAGGCTTAGGCGGCCAGGTGTGTATCTTTCACCCCCTCAGTTAAGTAAGCATGGGGTGAATACAGAGGTGGTTAAGCAAATGCATTGGTTGCCTGAAAATTCTCATTCTTCCCTTCTTTTTCTAACAGTTCCCCTGATTTTCTTTCCAGAGGGAGCACCCTCTCTCCTTTATGTGACAACAGTTCATTTAGGGTACATGAACCTCACTCCCAGCTCTAGTGATGGTTTGTGAGGATTAATTCCATCTTCATTCTATAGACTAGTCAAGAGAGTGGTCCAAGGAGAGCCCAGGGTCAGCACATGTGTTCGACAGATGATTCTGTTTCACATTTGTCCTTCCTGGATGTGACTGAGGACACATGGGGCTGAAGCCAGCCTGAGCTCTTACCAAGAAGCCAGAGAAGGCGGAGCCGGGGATGACACTTGAAGTCACACTTCCTCTTTTCAATCCCCTGTCCAAATAGATCCTTATAATTCATGTCAGTTTGTTGCACTTTCTTTTGTTAAGTATATTTTATTGATTATGCTATTACAGTTGTCCTATTCTTTTCTCTACTTTATCTCCCTCCAACCCACATCGACCCTCCCACTAGCATTCCCCCTACCTTAGTTCGTGTCCATGGGTCGTACATACAAGTTCTTTGGCTTCTCCATTTCCTATACTATTCTTAACCTCCCCCTGTCTATTTTGTACCTACCAATTATACTTCTTATTCTCTGTACCTTTTCCCCTATTCTCTCCCCTCCCCTTCCCTGCTGACAACCTTCCATATGATCTCCATTTCTGTGACTCTGTTCCTCTTCTAGTTATTTGCTTAGTTTTGTTTTTGTTTTTACGTTCAGTTGTGGATAGCTGTGAGTTTGTTGTCATTTTACTGTTCATAGTTTTGATCTTCTTCTTTTTCTTAGATAAGTCCCTTTAACATTTCACATAATAAGGGCATGGTGATGATGAACTCCTTTAACTCGACCTTATCTGGAAAGCATTTTAACTGCCCTTCCATTCTAAATGATAGCTTTGCTGAATAGAGTAATCTTGGATGGAGGTCCTTGCCTTTCATGACTTTGAATGCTCCTTTCCACCACCTTCTTGTCTGCAAGTTTCTTTTGAGAAATCAGCTGGATAGTGTTATGGGAACTCCTTTGTAGACAACTCTCCTCTTTTCTCTTGCTGCTTTTAAGATTCTCTCCTTATCTTTAATTTTGGGTAATTTAATTATGATGTGCCTTGGTGAGTTCTTCCCTGGATCCAACTTGTTTGGGACTCTGAGCTTCCTGTACTTCCTGGAAGTGTGTTTCCTTTGACAGATTGGGGAAGTTTTCCTTCATTATGTGTTCAAATATATTTTCAATTTCTTGCTCTTCCTCTTCTCCTTCTGGCAGCCCTAGAATTTGGATGTTGGAGTGCTTAAAGTTGTCCCAGAGGTTCCTGAGCCTCTCCTCATTCTTTTGAATTCTCGTTTCTTCATTCTCTTCTGGTTGAATGTTTATTCCTTCCTTCTGTTCCAGATCGTTAATTTGAGTCCCAGCTTCCTCACCTTCACTTTTGGTTCTCTGTGTATTTGCCTTGATTTCACTTTGTATAGCCTTCATTTCTTCCTTCATTTTGTGACCGAACGCAATAATTTCTGTGAGCATCCTGATTACCAGTGTTTTGAACTCTGCACCTGATAGGTTGGCTATCTCCTCACTGCTTAGTTCTTTTTCTGGAGTTTTGATCTGTTCTCCCATTTGGGCCATATTTCTTTGTCTTGGCTCACCTGTTATGTCGTAAGGGGTGGAGCCTTAGGTATTTGCCAAGGCGGGGCAACCCCCTTCATTGCATTGTGGTACTGTCTGTGGGGGAGTTGTCAGAGAGGGAACAATGCCAATCGCTCGGCTCTTGGCCAGCTTTCAGTCACTTCCCCTGCTACCCTCAAGCAAATTGGGCCCTTCAGGTGCTGATTCTCAGGTGAGTGGGTTTGTATACATTCTAAGACACCATGGGTCTCTCCAATGAACTCTCCTGTGAGACTGGGAGTTTCTCCCACTGCTACAACTGCCACAGGTTTTTACAGCCAGAGGTTTTGAGGCTTTATTTCCATGCTTTGGAACCCTGGGTTGTACAGTATGTCTCTCTCCCCAGTTGTTCCTCTTGGTTTATCTGCACTCAAATGTGAGACTGCCCGGTCCAACAGCTGCTGCCTTGCTGAGAGTCCTCTCTGCCTGGCTGTCCATCTCCGCCTCTCCTACCCATCTGGATGAACGTTTCTTCTTTATCTCCTTGGTTGTCGGAGTTCAATTCTCTGTCAGTTCTCATTGTTGTTTGTTTTTAAATTTGTTGTTGTCCTTCTTTTGGTTGTGCAAGGAAGCAAAGTATATCTACTTATGCCGCCATCTTGGCCAAGTTTGCTGCAGTTTCCATGGTTTAAAACAAAAGCACCCAAGAGAGGTGGCTTGGAAAGTGAAGAACTTAAGTTTTAAAAAGAAAAGTCATTTTGAACTGTGGCTTTATTACTTACCAGCTATCTGGCATGGAATAAGTTACTGTAAACTCTTTGAGCTTCTTGATCTGTAAAATGGAGACAAAGAAGAAAGGATTAAATAATGTTTGTGTGTCTGGTTCAGTTCCTGATATATAGGAAGGAGTTGGTAATTAATGGTAATTATTATATTTGTTCTCTGGGCGTTAACACAAAAACATACTTTAATTTTCAGTAATAAAACTCCTTTTCTAAAACTATTGTGTCAGGCCACATGGTACAATTTAAACAGCTCTGCTTTGGGGGCCCAAAGATCTGACTTCTAGATCCTGTCAGTGGTTGGTCTTGGGCAGTTCACTTAGTTCACTTGGTATTGGACCTCAGTGTCTCTCATGTAATTTGAAGGTATGCAACAGGAAAATCTCTAAGGACTCTTTTAGCTCAAAAATTCTAACATTCAACTTAAGTAGCAGTATAAGTCATGAGAGAGGCCTTACCTCTTTTATTTGGCCCTAATGATACACGCTGAGTAACGCAACTGAGGAAGTCATTTTGGAGAGTCCAGCTCTCTCTAAGTTGAGATCAGAAAAGCCAGTTTGGATGCAGACATTTATGCCCACAGATTAATTACAAATTCATCATAATGTTTGTGTGGATGTGTGTCAATAATGGTGATTATTCAAGAATGATATGGTTTTTAAAAATCTGATTTCAGAATCAGGAAATGGGAAATATGTTTTTGTCTCCGTAACTCATTAGCTGTATGAGTTTGAGGAATGTATTTTAATTTCTCTGTGTGCCAGAATCTTATCTATAAAATGAAGGGCTTTGAGAAACTCTATAAGGTCTCCAGCAGATTCAACACATTCTCTGACTATAATCTTCCAGTTCAAAGAGAAATGATAGAAAAATTATGACTATTTTTGTACAGCCTGTGAACTAAGGGAATTTTTTTTAAAGATTGTTTTGTGTCATGTGGAATTAAATGAATTTCAAATTTCAGTGTCCACAAATAAAGTTTTACTGGAACATAGCCATGCCCATTTGTTTATGTATTGTCTGTGGCTGTTTTCACTCTACAAGCACAGAGCTGAGTAGTTACAACAGATAAGAACTATACGGACTGCAAAGCCTAAAATATTTACTACCTGGACCTTTATAAAAAATGTCTGGCTGACCCCTACTCAATGCACCCTGCTCTAACATTCTATGAACTAATATACATTAAACACTTTGTAAACTGCATAGCATTCATCCATATGTAAGGGGTTCATATAAAATGGAATTCTGAAATTAAAAAAGGCACAGCCAGAAAACCCATGCCCTCAAACATTGTTTATAACAGTTGCAGCTATGGACTGAGCCAAGTTAAGCCTCTGCTGCTAGAAAATACTGCGGAATTGTAAGCAAAGCTTAAAAAATGAAAAGTAGAAAATCATCTGGATGACATTAAAGAAGTCATGTAATTTGCTCCTTTTACGGTAAAATAACCGTCTCTGCTTCACAGCAGGGATCTTTATAGCAAATTGTTCTTCCTTCCTACATGCAAAACTCCCACTAAGTCAGCAAAGGGCACCAAGCCCTAAGAAGTGCCTGCCACACAGCAAGCCAGGGAGAACCGAGCCCCCTCCAAGGGAGAGGAATGTTCCTACCACATTTAGTTCTAAGAAGCAAGTGGGAAGGGAGTGCGCCTGCTGACGTGCCTGGCAGCCCTGTGTGGGTGTGAAGGCAGTCCAGAGCTGCATATTCTGCCTTTGACCTTGATCCTAGACATTTGCTTGAGAGAAAACTTGCTCTTTGCACAATATGCCTCCAGATACTTTATTTATAGAAAATAATAGAGCTTCCATTTCTAAAGGCCTATTTGATACCAGGAACTATATTAAATACTTAATGTATTTTATTTTATTGAAACTTATGAGACAAATATGACTATTTATTTTCAACAGTTAAGGAAACTAAAGTTTGATAAGGTTAAATAACTTGCCCAAACTAGAGATATTCAAACATTCTGTGCAATTTCAAGTGTCTACACTTTTTTTCTACTCAAAGAGCTAAGTATTTAAACAACTGGATTTCTATTAAAATTTTATAGGCTCTTTATGATATATCTTGACAAATAATACATAGTTAGACCATTAAAAAACTGAAAACATTAAACCCTATGGGATTATTTTCTATTATCAGTTCCTTAAATTCTTTTTTTAGATAACTTTCTAAATGATAATTTTTTTTCTATGATGATAACTTGATTTATTTTCTTAGCAACTTTTAAATATACAACACAGTATCATTAACCCTAGTTGCTACGGTATACATTCAGTCCCTTATTTACATTATTTATTTTATAACTGGAAGTTGGTACCTTTTGACCACTTACCCATTTCATCCACCTTCCACCCTCGATCAAGCTGTTCTTTGTACCTATGAGCTCAGTTTTTCTTTTTCTTTTTTAAATTTATTTTTCTTTTCTTTTCTTTTTTACATGTTAACCAATATGACATAGTGAGTCAATTTTGCTGTATCAGGTACATTGAATATTTTTGCTTTCATACATTTTTGAGAACTAATATATTTTTTATTTATTTATATTTTTATTGTTGACACTATTATAGATGTCCCCCATTTACCTCCCTTTGCTTCTCTCCACCCAGCTCCCGCCTACCCCCAGCCCATACCACATTGTTGTCTGTGTCCATGGGCTATAAATATATGCATACATGTATGTTCTTTGGCTAATCTCTTCCATTCCTCTCACCCTTTCTCCTCTGAGATCTGTCAGTTTGTTCTACATATTCATGCCTCTTAAATTTATTTTTAAATTGCAGTTGACATACAGTATTGTATTAATTTAAAATGTACAAGATAGTAATTGGACATTTATATGCCTTATAAAATGATTACCCCTAGAAGTCTAGTACTCATCTGACACCATCATTTTGTTTTTATTTTTAGATTCTACATATAAATGAGACCATGTGGTATTTTTCTTCCTCTGCCTGACTTATTTCTCTTAG